CAGCGGAGGGGGGGACCCGGGCGCCTCCCCGGCCGGATCTGCCTTTGACACGGCCGCGCGTGGACGGCAGGCGGGAGACGCAGTCCGGGGCTTGGATCTCGGCGGGGCGAGGTGGGGGGCTGGCTGGTCTTGGGGTGTCCCGCGTGCTCCCCCCACCGCGCCCCGCGAACGACCCGGGCGGCTTCTCCCCGCGGATCGCAGCCTTCCGCGGCTCTGACCGCCCAGGGTCCTGCCCGTGGGAAGCGGGGCAGAGGCGCGCGGTGGCCGGGCAGCACAGAGCCGGCGGCGGCTCATGCCGGGGACACCCCTTCACCACGGGGAATCAGAATCAGGTGTGGGGGGGGGAGAAGGGGAAAAACAGGACTGGACGGGGCACTCTGGCCGGGAGAAAGCGGACTTCATTTTGCTGGAGGAGGTTCGCAGTCTGGGAGGAGAAGCGGCGTAGATGGAGGGCAGCGGGTCTGCGAGCGCCGGGCCCGGGCCCCGCGGGGAGGCCACGCCCACCGCGCAGCCCCGCTCTCGCGCCTGATTGGACGGCGCGGGGACCCCGGGGACCCAGGCGACCCCCACCCCGCACCCCGGGGGCCGGGGTTGTGTAACCGGCCGTGGAAAGCTGCCCGGTTCCCAGCCTGGCCGCAGTCTCTTCACCGACCTGTCGGTCTGCCGAGCGGGAGCAAAACCACGGGTCGTGTTGTGTTCCCTGTGTCCTCACGGCAGGCTAGTTAGAGTTTGCGCCCACTGTCTCGTGCGTGCGTGAGAGTGTGCGGGTGTGTAATGGCAGCGATGCGTGCTTTCACACTTCACCGGGGAGCCCCTGCCTCCCAGCCGGGCTGACGGAGCGGCGTCCCCGGGGCCAGTCCGCTCGCGATCGCCGGCCTCCGCGGAGCCCCGGAGGACGGCGTCCCCGCGGACGGGAAACCCACGCGCGCGGCGGCCGAAGCGGGCGGGGAGCTGCGCTCAGCCGAGCCTCCGCCCCGGGGCCGGCGCTCGGGACCTTCCCCAGCGGCAGCCGGGGGGGGGGGTCCCGGAAGGGCCGGAGGGCTCGGCTCACCCCACGTGACCAGCAGCAAACCGGCGGCTGTCATCCGAAATGCCGTCGATCGGGAAAAAAGGCTCCAAAACAAAATAAAGCGTGCCCGCGAGGCCCCCGGCGGCGAGCCCCGTTCCTGGGGGGGCGACCCCGGCCCGCCCCCTCCCCCCGGGGGGTGGGAGCCCAGCTGCTCCGCCCCCCACTTCCGGCCCCCCTTCTCTCCTCCTGCAGGTGTGCCTGCGCTGGATCTCCCCGTCCTCCGTCCCGCCCTTCTTTCTTCACCCCCCGGGCCTCCACTGACGGCCTCCCCTTCTCCCACAGCCTCGGGGCCGCACGGCAGGAAGCCCGACCCCGGCGGCGGCGGCGGCGCC